GCTAATGAAGTAAAAACAAGATCAAGATTAATAGCTTTAATCATTTAAACCTCCAGGAGTTTGGTGAGCTCAGTTGCAAAATGATTTTTGAAATGTTTTTAGTGATTGAATGTAAACACCCAAATGTGAAAAATGAAACTGGCAGCAGCTATAGTAAAAAAAAACAAAAAAAAAACCAAACAAAACCTGCCACGTCTTCTGCTTCAATCCCTTGTCTTTAACAAGTCAATTTGCATAAAACTTTCATCAACCTCTTTCACTTTTTATCTACTTTTCTTCAAAATTTTAATTTTTTTGTGTGGATTTCAGCACAGTTCATGGCATGAGTATCTTCATATATATCGCTGTTCCTACAACTTCCATGAAACAGTCCCCACTTGAAAAAGAAAAAAAAGCCTCAAGAAGTTCGGCACAAAAGTAACCCATCACAGAGAAAACACCTTTTCTAGTTCTTTAAGAGAAGGGACTTTTTTCCTTAGACTTAAAAGCTGCAGAAAAAGCAACTGCATCTACATATTTGCTGAACATACAGCACTAAAAGGTGAAAAAAGTTATTTATGTACAGTCATTTACAATGCACATAACTAATATATTTTAAAACATCCAGAGTCAGAACTGTATTTTTTAAATATCCTGGCTTCAGCTCTGGTAACAGAATTCTGTTATCAAACCATATTTTAATTTACACAAACTGCCTTTCTAGCCATTTTTTTGCTATGCATCAACAGGGAAAAAAATGCATTTGCAGATCTTTATGAGAGGGTTATGTTCTCCAAAGAGATCGGAACCAAGCAATATTATGATAGAAAACAAGAATAGACTTTGACAATATTTTCAGAAATGCTGAAGGAAAACACTAGTAGTAGTTCAAGCAGTAGTAGGAGGCTTGTGGTTCTGACAATACTACTTCACCATATCAACGTCAGCTGGTGCTAAAAAGCTCAGAAACTTAAATATCTAACATCAAAAAGAGAACATCTAAGAAAAGCTCAGATATTTGCCGAGCTGGAACCTTAAAAGCTGTACTCCCTTGCAACAAATTCTGATCTAGTAGATGGGATTCTTCCCTCAGTGTTTAAAGAATGATGTTCTGCCATACTGCTCATAAACTAATTCAGGGGGAAAAAAAAAAAAATCTTGTATATTTAAATATAAATGCTTAACTGAAATGAAATTACACAACAATAAGAACGGTAATCAAATTATGTACAAAACACGCAATACAAGGGCTCAGAATTAAGTGGCAGAAGAACTCACACGTAAGTCATCCTCAATTAATCCAAATTAACTTTCTTTGAAGGCTGTTCTGTTACAAAAAACACACAAAGTATTTAAAACAGTAACTTGACTTGCACTAAATATTAATATAACACACTGAAAATTTCCCTTAATCTATATTGTCTTGAAGATGGATACTGATGACAAAGCTGTTTAGAAAACGCTCAAGAATCAGGCCTTGTATTCTGAGTAAAGTCCTTTGGACAACAAGCCCAACATGCTAGCATTTTCCCTAATCCCATACTGTTTATCAGATTACCAGTGGTTCAAATAATCAGTAAGAATGCAAACCAAATGTTTGTCCAACAATTTTGCAAGTTACTTTCACAAAAAAAGAGAGAGGAATACATATGTAAGACTCCCTATAGGGCAGAGAAAGCATTAATCTTTCATGCCTTTCTCTGACCGAAAATTAAAGGAAGAGTATTCATAAAAGTGCTGAAGTACTACAGTATTCTAGCTGAATGGCAGCTGAATATCAAAAAAACCTCATGGAATTGTTACCATGATAAAAGGGCAGGACGATAATTTCTAAAAACCTCATCTCCAGTGTCACCTTTAAAGACACAGTCCCCGGTTCTACCAAAAACACCTACTTCCATGAAAAGGTCATTTTTTGACAACTTAGGTAATTTGTTTCAGGTTACTATTTCTATAGCAGAGATTCAGAAAGACAAGAGACTGCAATTCACAAGATTTTGCTCCAAGTTGAGGCCTGCTAGAGCACTGCTAGTGACAACTGGTTTTTCATTGTGTATACTTTTACCAACAAGGCTCAGAGGATTACAAAGACAAACTGTCTCTTTCTTCTGTTCATCTAGGTATCTCTTTGGAAAAATACCAGGGGATCAGATGTTTAAAATATCAAAGTCAAAACCAGAACAGGTTTCTACATACTCCAGAAAACAACAACCACGGCTCATAAAATCATGACACTTCCAAACTCTAAGAATGAAAGGGCAAGAACAAGTATTAGTTTAAGAGTTACAGAGTAGGTTGATTTCTACAAGTCTCCTTTACAAAGAACTTAATGATTACAGATTCTCTTGAGCCCTGGAAAAATCTGAGGAAGATTCATCACTACTATGCCTTGGCTAAAGAAAAAAAAAATTGTTTTCACAAAAGTTTGAAATTCTTCTAAAGAGAAAAGTAACAACAGAACTAAAGCAAAAGAAGGAAGTTAATTCAGACTTAAAGAATATTTTAACTCATCTGGCTTCAGGAGACAGGTACAGAAAAATTAACATACGGGTTTCCATTTCAGTTCTAATTAATTCTGAGCCTACAATCTGAACTTGTAAACTGTGCCAGTACTTCCAGGAAAAAGTACTTCCAGGTTCACAATAAACAAGACAGCTATGGGAGAGTATATTCAGAAAAAGAACTGAACTGTGGATTTAGCCTACTCTACAGGTTTTTTAACGCTATTTAACAAAGGCAGGCAGGCAGAGAATAAATTTTAATACAATCCCTAGAAACTGCTTAAAAACAAACAAAAAACCTAAACCAAACTAGCCCCCTTTCCACTGACCTCTACAGAGAATGGCTTGAATTATAATACTGCATTCAGATTGGGTTTTTTCTGTTTGTTTGGGATTATTTTTCCCACCAACCTCCTTTATATATTATACAATTAATATGAAAACTTTTGTAACAAACTGGTACTACAGTAACCAGGTTACTACTCAGACCACTGTTGCTTGTTAATGAGATCATTTCTGAGAAGTCATTTATAGTTCTGGATGCCTAGAGACATATAAGGAGGTCTTACTTGTATAAAATGTAAAGAATTAATTTCTGAACTCTCTCACTAATGCTTCTTCTTTGGTAACACCAAAACCAAAAAACAACCAACCAAACAAAACCAAACAAACCCCCAACCAACACAAACCCCAAAACCTAAATCAGTTTAAAAAGGGGAGGAAACAAAAACAAGGTGGGGAGGAGAATCTGTATTTGTTAAATATATCAAACTCCAAAGTCCACATAATGGAACCAAAGCACTCTTTTCCATTTTAAGAACTTGTTGAGGAGAAAATAATTTCTATTTAAAGTTTGAGCTTTCTTAAACAAGCTTCTGTATTTTTTCTTCTGAAAATTCAAAATTGTAATAATTCTTATTTATTTTTTTTCCCCTTTAGCTTTTTTTTTTTTCCTTTTATAAAGTAACTTGCATTTAGTTTTCCCAAACTAAAAGTTTCTTTGAAAAATATATGGAAAATTTGGTAACATTCAGGACTTTGTCCTGGTAACTGCTGTCCTTTCCTTGGATTCCACTGCCCAAATCCAAGCCCTCATGCACACAATTCAAACTCCTTTTCATTCTAATTTCTCATTTAAGTAAAGCAAACTGCTGAAGCACTAATATCCAGGACTTCAGAGGACATCAAGAAAATGAAAACAAGAAGAGGGATCTCTGTCAGAACAAGAAGGAAGTGAGAAAAGCAGGGGAGATTAAAAAATGCACTATACACTTCATTTTTAATTTATTCCACGGAAATACATTTTCACCTTTGGTTATGGAACTGCCAATGGAAGTGGTTCTCCTCTCTTCTGCCACCACACTCCTCCACCCCACACTGCACTGCACCTAGCAATTGTGCAACCACATGACTCATCAGTAAGTTGCTCCAAGGGAAAACTACACTTATTGGCAGTAGTTTAATTCTGGATTAGCTCATTCTGCAAGCGGATGAACTGTAAGAGTGGAGCAGAAGCATGTGGAGATGGGGGTTTTTTCTGCTTGTGCACAGAAACTACTCAATCTGGTAAGAGCTGCGACCACAGCACCCTAAACGTAACATGAAATTGCACTCTGAATCCCAATCTTTTATTACTAGATTAAAAGGAATGAGTTTGCTAATAATATCAGTAACTATACTGCACATAAAAATAAAGAAAATAAAGAAAAATTGATCAGGCATATTAAAGCAGTGAACCAGGCAACTCTTTGGAAAGCCCAGCAACATACTGATGACATAAATCAATTCCTCCATATCTGAGGAAAGGACAAAAAAATGCACAGGGGAAAAGAAAGAAAAAAAAAAATAAAAAAGCAAGACCTCTGAAGTGAGGCCTTCAAGGGAATCCCATACATGTTCAACATACAGAAGCATTAACTGCAACTGAAGCATTTCAGTATGTATCAATTCATGAAAAGCCTTTCTATCTAGCATCCCCAGAAATTTGACTGAACCATACTCACTTTGCACTGATGTTCTGAGATTCTACTGCTGCGATCTCAGACTGAAGTAGCAAAGTGAAGTTTCCTGCTTTAGCAGTCTAAACCAGACTGGAACAAAACTGTTTTCCTGAATCCATACTATATGATGAAACTGGCACAGCATTCTTCCCTGTAATGCCCAGACTCAGCAGACGTCTATGTATGAAAAAGCTGATGTCATACAAGAGTTGTTAAGCTATTTACCTTTGCTCGGAAGTTGTGATTCCTTACTTTGAAGGCAGTTGTACAACACAAATGTAATTTTTCATCCCATTCCCCCCCAACAATTTAGTGTACAGACATCTGAAAGTTGCCTCTTGTTTTATGTATTATTCTTCTCAAGATACTCAAGGTTTGTGACTATATACAAGGTCACTCCAGTCTAATGCATGCCAACAGTTTTTCCACAATGGATTCTTCTTTCAGAGTTCTCCCCTTGTTAACAGGAAATGAATCCAAGTTAAATGATAGATTTCTCCTTTGAAAGGGCATCACTTACCAGTAACTACCATGCTGCTCATGTTAGAGTTCGGGCTATTGAGTACACTGCCTGAAAGAAGTTCGTCAGATCCTCTCTAAAAAGAAAGAGACAGTAAGAGATTTTTTTTCCTCTATTTTGTGATTTTTAAAGATGGTATTAAAAATGTCAGTTTGACAGGAAAAATCTTTAGAAGAACTTAAGCAAGCATAACCAAACCTATTCAGGTTTGGCAGACTTTTCAGATAAGTGCAACAACTTGAAATCTAAGTAAAGCAGTATATTTACATGGCAATCTTTGAAATGAGAGGAGCTTAAGCACAGTTGTTTCACCCACCCCTGAAATGTAGCCACCTCCAGACACAACGAGAATTGCTGAACAATAATTTTGCCCAGCATTTCAAATTAAAATATTATTATAATTAAATATATTTAATACATTTCAGTAACATTTTAAAAAATTTAAATTAACCTATTGTTTTAATATACTAATATATGTATATATTATATCTAGCTGAAACTACAAGGGAAATCTATACAAACAGAAATATGGAGTTTAGCTCATTTTTTTTTTTTTTAAAAAAAAGACTTGTCTTCATAGGAAATGATAAATTTTCATTTGGGGGATATCCATTTGTCCTGTAAAACACACTTTAGGGCAGGGAACTACATCTTCATTATAATCCTTAAAACATGACATATCAATTAAACTTTTTTTTGAAAATGACTCGAAAGTGGGCTGCAAAAATCAGAGGGGGGTTTTGTATTGAAAACGTACAAGATAATCTTTCCTTCTCAAATTATTTGCAAGATGGGCATTTCATACAGCTGAAGAGGCTTTTGCTTCTTTTCACGCCTTTTTTTTCTTCTTTCTTCTACCCAAAACACCCTCCATCCCTCAAGACTTCACCTCTTAAAAAGCCCCCCAAAATATTTAGGTGAACCTTCATTAAAAAAAATTTAAAAGACAATAAACCTGACATCCTTTGAATATTATCTTTAATTTCTTATTGGTTCTTTCTCCACTTCAAAAGTATTTCCCCAGCACCTTTAACACTAATCCAGGTCACTGCTAAAATGGAAATGAGGAAAGAAAAGTTACTAACCATCTTTATAAAAATAAATGTTTTTAAATCTGTTGTGGATACTACAATAGAATCTCAAGAATAGTTAGTGAATATGTTTTACAGGGCACCTCAATGCTGCATACTAAATTAACCTGAGGACATCACCTTTCTAGGAAGCACAGTTGCAAGATACATGAAATCAAACTTTTAACATTTTATCATAGTGCACTGTACATGTGTCCATGCACAGAACAGTGTTAGTTTGTATAATCCACACCTGAAATTCACCAGCTCTTAAAAACAGTATATATGTGTATACACACACACAGCCATTAAAGTTTACTTAGTTTTCACCATCAGCTCTGAAGAATCTTTATTGAATACTCTAAGCTCTTAAGCATATATAGCAATCAATAAAGCTGTGCCTATCAAATCAACTATAGATTTCCTTTAAAATCGAATAATGCCCAATATAAAGATTAGGTAGGACCATGTCTTGTCCTTCTCAACGTGTGAACAGATCTCTAATCAGACATAACCAAGGAAATATTTAGCTGGACAAAACTGAGAAACAAGTTAGAGTAAGTTATGGAAACTCTTTGTTAGTGAAACTACATTGCTTTCTACGGTAAATACAACACACTAACCCAGGCACTCAGTGGAAGTTGAAATATAAACATTCCTTCTTTCTCTTTAATGTTCTCTTTTTCTTACATAGTATTTACTTGGGTAGAATACTGCAAAGTTCAAGATTACTAGCAGTATTAGCTCACTCAATGGTAACTGCAGTTATCTCTGCTTACTGCTATCCACCTATCATTGCTTGGAAGCCCTTGTCTGTATGTAGCCTGGACATCTGGACAGCTCGACTGAAGAGGCAGAAGTAGCAGAAAAGACTGAATCAGTTCATAGTCAGGCACATTAACATAATTCAGCAGCATTTCTTTTTCCTTAATATGCCAGGCATTAATGTGCAACAGTACAGCAGTTACTACATAAACAGCTGAAGCATCCCCAGTATCAGCTGAATGCTCTTCCTAAAACCTGATGGAAATTTACAGTTCTGAAATATCTCACATTTTACTTGTCTTCAGCTTCAAAAAGTTATTTACATTAGCAACTGCTGACTAGCAGAACATAAACTTCTTGTTCCTAGTAAATCAGGCTTTCAAAAAGCTGTTAATTTCTTAATCCACAGCAGAAAAATCCAAAAGGAACTCAAATTACTCAATAGAGGGGATATTCAGTTACTGTATTTGTGTTTCATGAACAATTAAAAGAGTTTTCTCTTCATTTTGAAACATATCATTTTGCATTTAATGAATACATTCAGAGTCAATCACAAAGATTTTGTCACTACACTTGAAAAAGTTTTAACAGTTTTGCTTCAGAAGAACAAGTAAATGTGAACTCATTATTGGCTTGTATCATAAATTCTACATTTCTTTTATTCTCATAAATCAGTGTTCACAAGTCTGATTCACAGATGTACAGGCTCGTACATGGAATGTTCTTCCAGTTCATCATTAAGTCACAAACATACAGAAAACCTCTGCTAACTCATTCCCATACATACTTGCCAAGCTTTTGGTAAAAGACAAAGATATCTCTTACCATGGGAGTTATAACCTTTTTTGATATACATGGTTATTTTTCCTTATCGGTTCTCAGGCAGCCTAGACAGCTCTGCACTTCATTCAGTATGTAACTTTAAAACCAGCTATGCAGCTAAAGACACGTGAAGGACTTGGACACAGAGCAGTTAAATTACTAAATCAAAAGCAGTAACTGCCTGGTAATTGTAATTTACTTCAAAAGGGTTATCTTTAAGATGACAGTTGTTTAGTAAAGCAATTTAATATAAGCACTTCAAGTAAGCCAATGTGTATTCTTGAGACTGGCATTACTATGTGACACAGGCATCTCCTGAATTACAGCGTAGACGTAAATACTTATTTTACTCACATTCATTCAGCAGAGATAAGACTTTATTCAATTTGTGATTTGGGGTGCTTGGCTTTGTTTTTATGTGCATCTTCTTTTAGAGGGTGCTAAACCAAGAAGGACTGGCACCTTGCTCTTCATCGCTCCAGTACCTCACACACAACTTTCAGAATTATAACCCATTTCCCAAGTATCCTGAACATTCGCTAGTCTTATTCTCAAGCACGCCAGTTCTGTTAGTCAAATCATGCAAAGCAAAGAAACCTTTAAACTAATTTAGGTAAATTCTATGGCGGGTTTCAGAGATAAGGAAGCTACGCTCAAATCTTTGAAGAACATAGCAAATCAGATTCAATGAAGAATGGAAGATCCAAGAGCAATGTTCACTTAACTCTTTTCCCCATCTGTGCAAACTGCTGTGTTCTAAAGAATCAAAGCAATTTTGAGACTGTATAACAAGACTGAAGATCACAAAGGCATAGATCACGGGAATGTGCAAATCTAAGTTAAAATAACAAACAGAGAAAACACCACAATGATTTTATTTCGTCACAGACTGCAAAGGAAGTTCCCATGGTAGAGACTAATTGAAGATCTATTTTAGCATGAGGGAAGGAGATTATAAAGGACAAAATACAAACTGCTATTATACTATTAATAGGTCATCTTCTAGCAGCTAGTCCTCAACAGCACAAGTTTTTAATGCCATTTCTATTCCTACCAACATCAGGAACATTAATTTACATTAATCTTCCACAAAAGCTAAACCACTAACTATTCAGATCAGAGACATCCAGAACATTACTTCATGAAACTAGCATCTGCCAAAATACTATTACACAAAATAAACATGGGAATTATCAAACTAACTTCTTGCAGTGAGTGAGCCTTAGATTTGTTGCAGAATCAATACTGTCTTCTCAATGAAGCCCATGTTATCACACCCTTGCCCCCATAAGAGCATTTCCACTGGTGGTGTGAAAACAGCATGTTAATGTGTGGCTTCAGCCAATGGAATTACATAAAACTGACATGTAGGATCGCTTTCAGAAAAAGATGAAAAATACACCTACTCAGATTTTGAATATGTATTTCAGAGAAACTTAAAGATTATATATACAAAAATTATTTTATATTCTGTAAATTGAACATATCATTTCAATATTTCAGTTAATTTTTGTAAATGAATACACTTACTGTACATACTTTGTTTCTTCTACTATTTAAAAAAATCAGTTTTACAAAGAGAAAGTCCCTAGCTTGGCAAATTCATCTCCTAGCTCCTTCCTTTAACAGTCATCGCTAATTCAGAATTCCCCACTACACAATCTGGATTTACACAGCAGATTTCAGACTTTTTCCCCGCCCTGTAACAGACTACTATAAAGCTTCACGCTATCACAGGTTATATTAAGTAGCTGTGCAATTTCAGGAAGTCACTACAGTCATACTATCTTTCCAGGCTCACCAAAAATATACTATTTAGAAGTCTCTGACAATTACTTTCAAAATATTTCAAATATTCCCCAGGTTTTATTACATCCAAGATTAAAAAAAACCAACAAATCCCGCCCCCCCC